AATTAGTGTGATAAGTGTGATAAAGTGCTGGAACTGGGACAAGCACTAATTGCAAAGGAGCCTAAAGAATGAGTTCCCCGTCCATAAACGTAATTCACCACATAAACAGAACCAAAGACAAAAACCACATGATTATCTCAATTGATGCAGAGAAGACCTTTGACAAAATTCAACAGCCCTTTATGCTAAAAACCCTCAATAAACTAGGTATTGACGGAACGTATCTCAAAACAATAAAAGCTATTTACGACAAACCAACAGCCAATATCATACTGAATGGGCAAAAACTGGAAGCATTCCCTTTGAAATCTGGCACTAGACAAGGATGCCCTCTCTCACCACTCCTATTCAATATAGTACTGGAAGTTCTAGCCAGAGCAATCAGGCAAGAAAAAGAAATAAAGGGTATCCAAATCAGAAAGGAATAAATCAAATTGTCTCTATTTGCAGATGACATGATTGTGTATCTAGAAGACCCCATCATCTCAGCCCAAAATCTCCTGAAACTGATAAGCAACTTCAGCAAAGACTCAGAATACAAAATCAACGTGCAAAAATCACAAGCATTCCTATACACCAGTAACAGACTTAAAGAGAGCCAAATCAAGAACGAACTGCCATTCACAATTGCTACAAAGAGAATAAAATACCTAGGAATACAACTAACAAGGAACGTAAAGGACCTCTTCAAGGAGAACTACAAGCCATTGCTTAACGAAATAAGAGAGGACACAAACAGATGGAGAAACGTTCCATGTTCATGGTTAGGAAGAATCAACATCGTGAAAATGGCCATACTGCACAAAGTAATTTACAGATTCAACACTATTCCCATCAAGCTACCAATGACCTTCTTCACAGAATTGGAAAAAAACACCTTAAACTTCATATGGAACCAAAAGAGAGCCCACATAGCCAAGTCAATTCTAAGCAAAAAGAACAAAGCAGGAGGCATCACACTACCGGACTTCAAACTATACTACAAGGCTACAGTAATCAAAACAGCATGGTACTGGTACCAAAACAGAGATGTAGACCAATGGAACAGAACAGAGGCCTCACAGGAAATACAACATACCCACAACCATCTGATCTTCGACAAACCTGACAAAAACAAGCAATGGGGAAAGGATTCCCTGTTTAATAAATGGTGTTGGGAAAACTGGCTAGCCATGTGCAAAAAGCAGAAACAGGACCCCTTCCTGACACCTTACACCAAAATTAACTCCAGATGGATTAAAGACTTAAACATCAGACCTAACACCATAAAAACCCTAGAAGAAAATCTAGGCAAAATCATTCAGGACATCGGCGTAGGCAAGGACTTCATGACCAAAACGCCAAAAGCAATGGCAACAAAAGCCAAAATAGACAAATGGGACCTAATCAAACTCCACAGCTTCTGCACGGCAAAAGAAACAGTCAGTAGAGTGAATCGGCAACCAACAGAATGGGAAAAAAATTTTTGCAGTCTACCCATCTGACAATGGGCTGATATCCAGAATTTACAAAGAACTAAAACAGATCTACAAGAACAAAACAAACAAGCCCATTCAAAAATGGGCGAAGGATATGAACAGATACTTTACAAAGGAAGACATACAGGAGGCCAACAAACATATGAAAAAATGCTCATCATCATTGGTCATTAGAGAAATGCAAATCAAAACCACATTGAGATACCATCTCACACCAGTTAGAATGGCGATCATTAAAAAATCGGGAAACAACAGATGCTGGAGAGGATGTGGAGAAATAGGAACACTTTTACACTGTTGGTGGGAATGTAAATTAATTCAACCATTGTGGAAGACAGTGTGGCGATTCCTCAAGGACCTAAAAATAGAAATCCCATTTGACCCAGCAATCCCATTACTGGGTATATATCCAAAGGATTATAAATCATTCTACTATAAAGACACGTGCACACCAATGTTCATTGCAGCACTGTTTACAATAGCAAAGACCTGGAACCAACCCAAATGCTCAACGATGATAGACTGGATAGGGAAAATGTGGTACATATACACCATGGAATATTATGCAGCCATCAAAAACGCTGAGTTCGTGTCCTTTGTAGGGACATGGATGAACCTGGAAACCATCATTCTCAGCAAACTGACACAAGAGCAGAAAATCAAACACCGCATATTCTCACTCATAGGTGGGTGTTGAACAATAAGAACACATGGACACAGGGAGGAGAGCACTACACACTGGGGTCCGTTGAGGGGAATTGGGGGAGGGATGGGGTGTGGGGAGGTGGGAAGAGATAGCATGGGGAGAAATGACAGATACAGGTGAGGGGACGGAAGACAGCAAACCACACTGCCATGTGTGTACCTATGTAACAATCTTGCATGTTCTTCACATGTACCCCAAAACCTAAAATGCAATTTAAAAAAAAAGAAAGAAAAAAAAAGCACTCTAAAAAAATACAATTAAACAAACAAACAGAAGCTAATTTTTCCCATGTAAAAATAAGCCTAGTTGCACACTAGGTCTGAAGACTACACCAGGCCATGTGACACGACAGAAATGTATTGGGGAATACATTTCCTGGTTTCTGTATAAATAAAACTGTTGAATTTAAGCTTTCTAAGTCAAGTCAAGAAGAAGAAGAGCAAAAAATGCAAAAGTGCAGCTTGAAAGGTCATTTTATCATCAAAAGCTGATCATCACCGGACATTCACAAACTATACATTGTTGAATACATTGGTTCTGAATTTTGTTCTGGGTGTACCTGGCATTCCAGTTTTATTCAAGGTTGTCAAAGAGGTTATAAAAGACAATGTCATTTGCTGTCTTTAATGTTTTTCAAGAACAGTAAAGTTCTTCAGAGACATGAATTGTCATAATTTCATAGGCTAAAGGCTCATGAGTCATAATTCTAAGGGAATTTATAAAATATGGTGGTACATGCTTGCATTCTGAACTTTTCAGCTTTATATCTCATATAGGACATATTCATAAGATGCAAAGATACAAGCTGATTAAACAAAAGCCCTTTTGATTCTGAAAAAAAAAAAAAAAAACAGAATGAGTTCCCCAAGGAGATTACTTCTAAATTGAAAATCACAGAACAAGTAATTTTTTTTCCAAAATAACTGATCTCTCAATTAGACCAAAGTACATAAAATGTAATGCTGTTTTACATACTCTATAAATAAAGTGATAATAAAAAATAAAAATATACTCTTAAGCTGGTCCAAATTCAAGAGACCCTGCAGAGAACTGCCAAGTGTACTAGTTTGCTACAGCTCCCATGACATAACATCGCAGCCTGGGCAGCTTAAACAGCAGAAATGTATTTCTTCCAGTTCCGGAGACTAGCAGTCCAAGATCAAGATATCAGCTGGATTACCTTCTCCTGAAGCCTTGTCTCCTTGGCTTTTAGATGGCCGTCTCCTGTCTGGAAGAGCACCTTCACATGGTCTTCCCTCTGTGTACATCTGTGTCCTCATTTCTTCTTATTATCAGGACACCAGTCATATTGGATTAGTGCCCACCCAGATGGTCTCATTTAATCTTAATTACCTCTTTAAAGATGGGATCTCAAAATACAGTCACATTCTGAGGTAAAGTTAAGAATTCAACATATGAATTTGGGGACAAAGGGCGTAGAGAGAATTCAGCCTCTGGTACCAAAGCAGGTCACAACTGACTGCGGGATGCAAAGAGGGAAAGGAGCACCGAATCACACCAAAGCGGAAGCCCTGAGTTCTTGTAAAGATGGTGAGTCTGGGTAGTTAGAAAGGATGCCTGTTTGGTAACGAAGAGAAACTGAACCCTATTTTCAAGCCACAAAACCTCAGTTGGGAGTAGGACATTCCACTGGCAATATCCTGAAGGCAGATCAAGAGAGGATGCAAAGGTGGAGTGAAATATCCTAAATGTGAAGGCCACTTATTTTATAACTAATCAAGACAAGTTAATGATCCCAAGAAAAAAAGTCTTAGACACTTAGAATATAATGTATATATTTTCTTGGGCTACAAACAAATATCATAGTTGAAGAACCAAAATCAAGTTATGATAAACAATCAGCCAGATACAAATAATATATGATTGTTTACAACAAGAAGAAATTAAATGAGTGATACTAGAAATCAAAAGGGCAGTTTTGAAGTCACAGAGACAATTATTTTATAATAATTATAAATTCCAAAGTGTAAATTTTACGTGGAAATGATACCTAAGCTGAGTAGATACCTTCAAATAAACTCTACAGAGAAACAAAAGAATATTTTCCTGAATATAAGAATCCCACAACATTTCAAAAGCAATATAAAAACAGAAATCTATAAAGTGTTGGTGAATAGTAACTCAGAGGAAAATGCATTAGATGGCTTGACATAACTTATTAATAAGGCCCTTCAAGTGCTACAAATAGCCATTATTTATAATATTTTCATGAATATCCCTGTAACTAGGAGGAAGCATCTTGTTTAAAATGATAATAAATCTGAAATGAGTGCTACCTCATTCTTCTTCAAGGAGGAATCTATAAAAAAAAATCATAAAGAAAAGGTTGTATATTCGCTCTAAGATTCTAGAATTATTAAGTTGAAGGGCAGATTATAACTGAATTGAGCAGAGACAACTTTAAAGTTAGTAAAGCTTTCTTCTTGGCTAGAGTTAGGGAAGAACACAGATACAGTTTATATTAAAAGATTAATTTATTTGCGTTACATGCCATTGCCTCCTGTATACTGGAAAACACGATATTTAAGAAAATTTCAAGATAAACAAAATCCACAAAAAGAGAAGAAAAATTGTATGGTGACGAAAGTATCAAATTAGAAGTCAAAAAACCTGAATTCAAGCCGAGGCCCTCTACCATTTATTCTCTGTGATTAGTAGAATCAATCATCCTTGGACAGATTCTTTACTTCTATTATGGGGATTTTAGAAAACTACCACACAGAGTTACAGTGAAGTCTAAATAAGATTATGCATGTTTGTGACGGAACGTCGCCAATCGGCGCCGGCTTGTCTCGGCGTTCCGGGCTCGAACGCGGCGCGGTCTGACAGGAGCGGCAGCCCCGGCCGGCCGGGCTGGCATGGGTTGGAATTGGAGCCTATCTCCCATCCCGAAGGCTATCAGCATCATGTGGTTACTAACTGCTCCTCATTCACCGGTTGATGCCTCCCAGAAAAAAACGCCGCCAGCCTTCCCAGAAAGCCCAGCTGCTGTTTCACCAACAACCACTGGAGGGCCCCAAACACGGCTATCCATCTCCACAGCTCCCCATCACTGACACTCGACAGGTGCCCAGCAAGCCCATTGACCACAGCACCATCACTTCCTGGGTATCACCTGATTTTGATACAACAGCAGGAAGTTTGTTCCCAGCCTACCAGAAACACCACCACCAAGACCGGGTGAGACATTTAAGTCGAAAATCTACCACTTCCAAGTTTCCACATCTAACTTTTGAGAGTCCACAGTCTTCCAGTTCAGAAGCATTGGGGATCCCCTTAATCAGGGAGTGCCCCAATCAATCAGAAAAGGACGTTTCCAGAAGACCCTTAGTTCCAGTGCTCAGTTCCCAAAGCTGTGGGGACATGTCAGCTCAGGCACTTCAAGCTTCCCTTATGTGTTCACTCCACCTGATATCCAGACCCCAGAGTTATCGTCTATGAAGGAAGAGCTCATTCCCCCAGATCAGAAGGAAAACAATCTTTCAAGCTGCTCTCTTCACACTGGCACTCTCAGTAGCCCAGAGCCTGGACCTGTTCTAGTTAAAGACACCCCTGAGGACAAGTATGGAATAAAGGTCACATGGAGGAGACGAAAGCACCTATTTGCTTACCTCAGAGAGAGAGGGAAACTGAGCAGAAGCCAATTCCTTGTGAAAAGCTGACTGCCATCAGCAATCTCAATAGAAAGGAGATACATTTTCTGGAGTCATAAGGAAATTCAATTCTCAGAATTTTTTTTTTTTTTTTTTTTTTTTTTTTGAGATACTGTATTTCTGTGTCACCCAGGCTGGAGTGCAGTGGTGAGATCTCACTGCAACCTCCACTTCCCAGGTTCAAGAATTTTCCTATTTTAGCCTCCCCCATAGTTGGGATTATAGGCGCCTCATGCCTGGCTAGTTTTTTAAAATATTCTTAGTAGAGACAGGGTTTCACCATGTTGGCCAGGCTGGTCTCAAACTCCTGACCTCAAGTGATCTGCCTGCCTCAACCTTCCTGGGATTACAGGCATGAGCCACCACACCCAGCCAAGATTTGTTTTCTAAAATACTTTGTGTCATAAACAGTTGAGTTTAGTGTCATAAACTGTTCAGTTCATATTTTTCTGTTTAAATTTTTAAAGTATTTTATCATAACTGTTTAAAATATATGTAAATAAATGGCTACAGAAAGTTTTTTTTTAGAGAATCTTGCTTCTGGACGGGTGTGGTGGCTCACGCCTGTAATCTCAGCACTTTGGGAGGCCAAGGCAGGCAGATCATCTGAGGTCAGGAGTTCAAGACCAGCCTGGCCAACATGGTGAAACACTGTCTTTAAAAAAAAAAAAAAAAAAAAAAGAAAAGAAAAAGAGAATCTTGCTTCTGTCAGTAATACAGCAATATTACCCCATCCACTAAAGGTTTGTGTTTCCTTAACCACTACTCATTAATCCTTTAATCATCTCTGCATTTTTGGGGGGGGGCGGGGTTTTACCGTGTTGGCCAGGCTGGTTTTGAACTGCCGTGTGATCCACCCGCCTTGGCCTCCCAAAGGGCTGGGATTACAGGCATGAGCCACTGTGCCCAGCCCATTCTGCATTTTTTTTTCCAGGACAAGGAGTGATTTATTTCACAGCTGAGCGAAGGATGAGGCCCACAGCCTCGGTAGCAGCAGAGGCAGCTTCCGCCTGCCTAGCCCTCTCTTCTTGATATGGCAGCCAAAGGCCAGGTCAGGAGCAAGGGAGACAGCCAGGGCACAGCCCTCCCGCCACAGAGCAGCAGCGGGCAGCAGTAGCAGCAGCAGGTTAGGGGTAGAGGAGGGGGAGTGTTAGTCTGACTCCCATCCCCCTGTGGATAGTGTTTGGTGAGGGTTGGGGAACCTAGACTACTAGGTGGCGGGCATCTGAAGTGGCTCATTCAGCTGTGAAGATTCCGCTGGAAATGTCATCCGGGAGCCAGTCAGTGCCCTGCAGCAGGTTCTCTCCAGTGACGGCGCTGTAGCTCTGGATGCACCAGTGGTGGCTGTGGATAGAGTCCAGCTCCAGGGCCTCACAGATGGCGTTAGAGGACAGTGCTCTAGGCAGGTCCTGCTTGTTGGCAAAGATGAGGAGGATTGCTCTGTCCAGGCGCTCGTCCAGGCGCTCCTCCAGCAGCAAGCTGTGGAGCTCCCGCTGGCAGTCCTGCATGTGCTGGTGGTCCACGCTGTCCACCACCCAGATGAGGCCGTCGGTGCTCTCAAAGTAGTTTTGCCAGTAGGATCGCAGAGACTTTTGGCCGCCCACATCCCAGATGTTCAGCTTGAATCCTCGGTGCTCCAGGGTCTTGATGTTGAAGCCCAGTGTCAGGGAGATCGTGTCGACGTCCTCCCTGTTGAAATTCTTCAGGATGGTTGTCTTCCCAGCATTGTGCAGGCCAAGCATGAGCAGTCGCACCTCCTGCTCTTTCTGCTTCATCTTCTTCAGAATGGTCAGGAGTGTCCCCGGAGGCCCCTCCTGGCCACCGTTTCTTCCCATTCTGCATTTTTGAGTACCAACTCTGTCAGGCTCAGTGGCAGTTTCTATGACCTGATGAAGAAAAATAAAACTTTGTGACTCTATGGTTGACTGCCATCTCTGCAACCTTGACTCATCTGCTGAAAGGCAAGAAGGGCAGCAAGCCCTGTTTTAGGGACTACATGAGATCAGGGTAGATAGAGGGGACATAGACGAGTCCTTTAGGATTGCTTGTGTTTTGAGTTTTTTTCCTAACTGAAACAATCTGTAAATATTAAATAGAATGGTTCCTTAGAGTAACTGTAAAACTGTGTAAATAAATATGGAAAGTTTTCAAAGAAAAAAAGATAATGCATGTTAAAATATTTTGAAAACTTTCAGTTCTAATGACATATCAGTTATTAATTTTTCAAAATTACTGACAATCTGAACACCATAAAAAATGGGTTGTCATAGTTAATACAAGAATACTGCCTGACTTTCCAATTGCAGATGTTCCAATACCTCACACAATTCAGGGCAACGTACAATTCTGAGCAAGGTACGCCAAACCAGACTGAAATTCTGAAATCTCAATAACCAAATTCTATTGTAGATTGTGCTCCTAGCTATAGAAAAGCTCATACTATTAGGCAGATATTAACAAGAAAACATTTAAATACTGATAATTAAACACAAACTGTAAATTGGGTCATCCAAGGAGACATTGTTTTTTTAAATCTCTATTCAACTAATTAATTCAATGAATTGTCTCAGAGTTCCCTTTGCTATGAAGTGGTTCTCAAAAGGTAATATGCTTATGAATCACCTGGGGATCTTTTAAAAACAGATTCAGATTCAATAGGTCTGGGTGAAGCCTGACATTCTACATTCCTAACAAGCTTCCAGATAATGGTAAAACCTGCTGCTCTACAGCGACATACTTTTAGAGAAACGATCAAGGCACAGTATCATCCAAAGAAATACTATGTGTAAAATATATTTTTATAAAATGTATAGTAATGACATGGCCAAACCAAGCTTTAAGTCGACTGGAAAATGTAGTCTCTAGTTGGGAGGTCTGATTGCAGCAAAAACTCAAGGAGTTCTATTTCTAAATGAATAAAAGAAAAACAATGACTATTTGAAGACAATTAACGATCTCTACCTTGAGGATATATGTTTTCTCCTCAAATTCTCCATTTGTCCAAAAAAAAATGTCATTTACAGCTAACTGGCTTGACTAAGGAAAGATCTAATGCAGGACCCTGCATTGTTGTGATCTCTTAAGGTTGAATCATTATGATTGTGTAATAATCACCTAGATTGGTGGTAAATGAATGTTTTTCTCACTTTGGTTTTTTACTGATACATAACGGAAGTACATATTTTCAGGGTACATGTGATATTTTGATACATTTATAAGTGTAAAGATCAAATCAGGGCAATTGGGATGCCCAACACCATAAATACTTATCTTTTCTTTGTGTGAATGACAAATTATTCTCTTCCAGCTATTTTGAAATGTATAATAGATTACTGTTAACTACAGTTATTCCACTGATCTATCTAGGTCTTATTTCTTTCATCTAACTGTATATTTGTACTCATTAATCAACCTTTCTTTGTCCCCATTCCTCCTCCTTATCCTTCCCATCTTCTGGTAACCACCAATCACTTCCTTTCTTTTTATTTCTAATATAATTATTGACTCAACATTTTCACATATTTGATGTTTTAATATACTACAATTATTATGTTTTCAGGCTCAGATGTAATGGTCATATTAAAATAACTGACCAGCAGGAATCCCTTCAGCCTGGTTTCTGTGTCCTTTGTTAAAATTGTGGTAAAATAACATTAATATAAAATTTGCCATTTTGGCCAAGTAGGGTGGCTCACGCCTGTAAATCCTAGCACTTTGGGAGACCAAAATGGGTAGATTATTTCAAGTCAGGGGTTGGAAACCAACCTGGCCAACATGCTGAAACCCCACCTCTACTAAAAATATAAAAATTAGCTGGGCACAGTGGTGCACACCTGTAATCCCAGATACTCAGGAGGCTGAGACAGGGAATCACTTGAATCCAGGAGGCAGAAGTTGCAGTGAGCCAAGATTGTGTCACTGCACTACAGCCTGGGAGACAGCAAGACTCTGTCTCAAAACAAACAAATAAACATTGCCATTTTAACAATTTTTAAGTGTACAATTAAGTGACATTAAGTACATTCATGCTGATGTGCAGCCATTACTACTATCCAACTTCAGAACTTTGTGTCCTTTTAAGTCAACCTCATTATTGCTTGAAAGATTTCCTGCATATGAGGTGTTGAACATTTACCATTCTGGATATCTCATGTAATGGAACCATGCAATACATGGCCTTTTGTGTCTGGCTTCTTTCATTTGGCATAATGTCTTCAAGGTCCAGCCATGCTGTAGCATGTATCAGTACTTCATTGCTTTCCATGGCTGAATAATATTCTGTCTTATAGAAGATACCTACTTTATTTATCTGTTCATCAATTGATAGACATTTGGACTGTTTCCATCTTTTGGCTGTTGTGAATAGTACTTCTATGAACATTTGTGTACAAGTCTTTTACATCTTTTTTCAATTCTTTCAGTTATATATATACCTAGAAGTCATACAGTAACTGTATGTTTAACATTTTAAAAATCCGACAAACTATTTTCCAAGCAGCTGCATGGTTTTATATTCACCCTACATTTGCACTAGTAATGTATGAGGGTTCCAATTTCTCTACATCTTTGCAAAACTTATGTGTGTTGTGAAGTGTTATCTTCTTATGCTTTTGATTTGCATTTTCCTAACAACTTATGAGGTTGAACATCTTTTCACGTGCTCATGTGCCATTTGCGTAACTTTTTTGGAGAAATCTCTACCAAGTCCTTCACCCAGTTTTTAATTGGGTTGTCTTTTTGTTAAGCTGTAAAAAAAAAATGTTTATATATTAGATAGAATCTCTTTTGTCACATACATGATTTGCAAATATTTTCTTCCATTTGGCAGTTTGTCTTTTCAGTCCTTTAGTGCACAAAAGTTTTAAAATTTGATGAAATCCAATACATCTTTTTTATTGCTTATGGTTCTGCTATCATATCTAAGAAACCATTGCCCCCATCCCCAGAATTACAGATCATAGATCTGATGAGGGATGTGTCTCTAGTATGCTAGAATTACGCTTGCCATTTCTCTTATCAAGAGATAGGGTTGATTTCCATCAGCTTGAAAGTGGGTAACTTGCTTTGACCAATAGAATGTAGTAAAAAATAATGCTGTGCTAGCTTGCAGCTTTGCTCTCAAAAAATACTACCAGAAGAGAAAGTCCACATGGAGGATAACTGAGTCACCCCAAACAACAGTCAACATTGCAGCCCCAGACATGAGACAGGTGCGATGGTCTTGCATGCTGGCCATCTGCCAAGTGAACAATCTACCTGAGGAACATAGAGCAGAAGAACCATCCAGATGCCTCATAGAATCACATGAAATAAAAAAAGTTGTTTTGAGTACTGTAAATGAAATATTAGTAAGACATACCAGTGAGAAAATAACATTAAATGAATGCACCTCCCATTTAGATGTTGATAGAAGTTCTAAAAAGGGAAGGTCATGAGATTCCTAAAGATATGCCAAATATTCCTTGATGTTTTGACTTTCTGGAGACCTACATGCAAAAGCAGGGGAAAATATGCATACAGAAGTTTTTCCAATACTCTATTTGGCCATTTAAAATTGTTTAAATTTACCTTTATTCATTTTACTAAAACTACTTCAAATTTACTCAAAATTAATTTTAAAAATTAACTACAAACTTCCCTCAAAATGAAAAAGAGTTTTTAAATATAACTTGTAATTGAGTTAAAAGTAAAATCCAATATGAAATTCACAGATGCAGGAGATTTAAATGGATTAGGAAAGCTGTGACTTCACGAAAGTCTCTTTAAGAGACTTCTCCAGGGCATATAATGATAAAAGTTAATAGAAATGTCCAACATGGTTTTCAGAAAGAGCATTATTTAAAACTGTTAGTATTAAACTTTAAGGCTCTACAGTAACAAGTTGTTTTGACTTATGTGAAGCAATCTAAAAGCGTAAGTGTACCTAAAGAATGTCAAAAATTATAGCTAGGAAGTCTTCTTCCCCTCCCCCCACAAAAAGCAGGGCAGGCATTATAAGATTCCTCAAAAGAATTTTATTTGAAAGTTAATGTCATTTCAAAATCACATCTCTGCATGACTGAAAAGTGAAAAGGCTGCACTTCATGTTAATATTCTTCAAAGCATTGTTTTAAATTATTTTTTGCCTGTGCTCAGAAAGACAATATTAAGCCACAGTAAAGTGTTCTGTTCCAGTTGTACAGATCTGTTACTTGCAACATGTCAGAGAGAAATAGAAAAAGGGCTATTGAAATCTAATAAAGAACTGCAGTGCTTAATAGAAATAGGGTTTTTCAAAATGTTATTGGTAAGCTCACAAACTAAAAGGTCCCTGTAGAGACTTTTGTTTAGTTCTTAAATTACTTTCAAACTCCAGACTTGAGAAGAAATAGAATCAAATCCCTAACTTTCAAAACTTTTATAAAATATCCGTGAACATCTTCATATAGCATCCCTCAAGGATTCCTCATTCTATATATTGTATTTTCAAAAACTCAAACAACAAGCACTATCTTTAAAATAACTTAAAAGAAACAAGTGCGCACTACTGCTTCCTAGTACAGAGTTTACTATTAACTTCCTGTGCCAGAAACCACCTCAGAGATCTTCAGAAAAGAATACCAGAAAGTTACTATATGCCTCAATATCACCTGTTATTGTCAGGTTTCTTCTGTAACAACTCTCTTTAAATCAAAAGAAAAATGCAAAGCCAAAAAAACATTAAAACTATTTAATATTTTACTTTCTTCAACAGCTTCATCAGCAAACAATTAAACATAATTTTCGTTATTTTAATATGAAATATTATTGAAAAGTATAATGAAATGTTTAAATTAAAAATATTTAAGTATATCAAATATTTCCCCAGAAATCTTGAACAGACTGAAGTAGCATGCATTCCTCAAAA